TGTGTGTGTGTGTATATATATATGTGTGTGTGTGTGTATATATATATATATATATATGTGTGTGTGTGTGTGTGTACATATATGTGTGTGTGTGTGTGTGTGTATATATATATGTGTGTGTGTGTGTATATATATATATGTGTGTGTGTGTGTGTATATATGTGTGTGTGTGTGTATATATATATGTGTGTGTGTATATATATGTGTGTGTGTGTGTATATATATATGTGTGTGTGTGTGTATATATATATATATGTGTGTGTGTGTGTATATATATATGTGTGTGTGTGTATATATATATATATATGTGTGTGTATATATATATGTGTGTGTGTGTGTGTATATATATATATGTGTGTGTGTGTGTGTGTGTGTATATATGTATGTATGTGTGTGTGTATATTAGAGGATGACACAGGAGTAGATTTTCACTCCTGTCCTGGTCCAACAGAAAAAATCCTGTCCTGTCCCAATCCTGGTCCAGAGTAAAAAAATTAATCCTGTCCTGTCCTGCTCCTGGTAACATGACTCCTGCTCCTGTCCTGCTCCTGGTCAGAATCACTCCCACTCCTGTCCTGCTCCTGTTTTTTTTTCCTCTTCATTTAATTTTTAAGAAATGCATTGAATTTGAATTGATTTTCTAACCATTCCTTTTTAAATTACTTTGTGTTCTGCAGTTTGATTTCAAAAGATATGGCAGGAAGAGTTAATCTGTGGTGAAATATGGAGGCATTTATTGCCTTAATTCAAACAAAAACCTTCACTAAAGGTCACAAAACAAATACATGGCCTGTAGTCCTTATAGTTTTTCTACAGAGGATCAGCTGCTGAGTCCCTGTTTCTGGCTTTTTTGAAGGTCAGTTACAGTAAAAACAAAAAATGAAAACCAGTACATGAGTCACACCATGTCTACCTTAGATGAAAGAACCCAAACAGAACAAATAGAAGTTGCTTTTTACTAATTTATTGAGCAACTGTTTCCTTCCCTTTAGACAGTAACGTTCCTGTCATGGTTTAAATTGCTTAAATAAAAAACTAAACAAAAAAATTGCACCAAACAAACTGTCGTCAATGAACAGAACTGCATAAAGGCATTACATTCATATTGTACCTGAGTTTTTGAAAAAGGAAAATAAATGTGCATATAATGCAAATACTAAATAAAAATACAACTGCCATATATATATGGTGGTTGACTGGTGCAAATGTGCTGCAAACAACTACACACACAGCAATACTACAGTGGTCAGCAGGTGCAAACTGCTAACATGCTGCAAACAGTCAGCTACTGCACACACAGCTAACAGTTAAAAAGCATTGCAAACGCATAAATGATGCAAACTCTAAAACAACAACAAAAACAAAACAAATGCAACAGAAAAATGCAGCGAAAGAAAAAAACCTGCAATTACAGAAAATAAAACATACAACCCAAAAAACGAATGCAAAGGAAAATGCTGAAAAGTACTCTACTCAGTGCACATTAAACTCATAAAATAAGCCAATTTGGGGCCAGTTGCCACTCAGCTGTAATGTATTTGCAGGGTTCTGTTGACCAGACCAGCAGTTGTTTTGGTGTTATTTGTATTTGAAGCATTTTTCCTTTGCATTTTTTTTTTGATTGTGTGTCATCTATTTTCTGTGACTGCAGATTTTTTTTTCTGTTGCATTTGTTTTTTTGTTTTGGAATTTGATTCATTCCTGTGTTTGCAGCGCGTTTTAACTGTGTGTCTGTCAGCCACCGTGCATATCAGTCTACTTTCCCACTCTTCAGCACATATGAATAGTTGTCATTATAAGTTGCTATGTAGGAACAAAAGTTCATCTACATTTTCTGGATTGAGGGTGGAACACCTCTCCTCAATCAGTCTCCCAGCAACACTGAAACTACGCTCAGAAGGAGTGCTTGTTGCTGGGATTGCTAGCAGCCTCTTGGCAACTGGCACTAGCCCATCAGACCTCTCATGCCAGAAGTTGAGCAGAGACTGGAAGCCTGTCAACTTAGAGTCACTCATGTACTGTACCACAAACTGGCGGCCCCATGACTCTGAAATACCACCACTGTCCCCCTCCTGTTGCTGCTTTTCAACACAAAAGGAAAAGAAGTCGTGCACCTCTGTGGGACTGGGAACTGCCTCTCGGGGTGGACCTTTGGAGAGAAAAAAAAAAAAAAAAAAGAGATTCTTATAGAACATTACCTATATTGGACATTACCTATTAGATTATACAGACGTGTGTGTGAATGAATGCCTCTAAATAAATGATAGGAAGAAATGTTATTACATTTTAGAATTGCTGTGAGTGCTCTGTTGATGCTAGTTTTACTCACCCTGTTTCTTCTCAAGGCTTCTCGCTCTCTCCTCTGTCCCTGCTGTTTCTGTGAGTGCTGCCAGGGCGTTGATGACCTCCTCATACTCCTGACCGGAGAGCGTTTTCCTCAAGAAACTCCTCAGGCTAGGAGAGAGAGCTGTGGCTAGCTTATGGTACAGGTGGATTTTGAATTTCAACTCCACTGCCTGGGCCAACTTCTCTTTCAGCTAGAGGAGGAGTGAAATCACATGATGACACATGCAATGATATGATAATGATGTATGCAACATCATTATTACGGGACATAAAAAAATTCTCAGGCGGACAGGCACTGTGCTTTGTTATAGGCGTGGAGGAGTTTTAAATTTATTTCAAATTTAACTTGTACAATGTTTCTTTTGGAAAACATCAGACTCAGTTCTGTTCTTGCCTTTATCACTGTTGTTGAATAGGGCCAAACTCCTGTTAGCTACTTGAATGATCAAACTAAACAATAAAAATAAACAAAGTATTAAATTACCTCTTTCACAATTGCACTATCTCCATCCTGGATCAACAAACCCTGCAGCAGGGTTGCCTTGGTTGGGAGGACGAGGTGAAGAGTAGGTGCCTGATGGATGGAGAGGTGCCTGGTAGCCTCATCAAAAGGTTTCAGGAGCTGGATGACGTCCTCAAGAAGGTCACAGTCTATGTTGTTGAGGTAACGGAGCTCGCTTCTGCAAAGCAGGATGTCGTGCAGCTTACCAGACTTGAGAGCATCATTTATTGACTGGAGCATGGCAAGTCTGGTGTTCCACCTCGTCTCCACAGCTTCAGTGACTGGTCCAGTGCTTTTTGTAACCTAAAATTGAAAGAAGACCGTGCACAAGTCAAAATAGGGTTACAGGGACTATAAAAATTGTAATTTATTGGCCTTTCTTTTGG